ACAAAATTATTCAACTTAGTCCAGACCATAACCAAAATGGCGTCGAGCTCTCATATTTCGATCAATATACAATTATCGAAGACTCTGATAGGAGAATCGAAAAGGTCAGGACAATTTTACGACAATTTAGAACACTCTGGTAATCGATAAACTCGCATTTGAACGGGACAAAGGCAAAAAAAGTGTTGTATGCACTTCTATGCCAAAACGATGGAAATACGAGGTCTCGAAGTGAAGATTTAATTCACCTGTAAATCACAGATGGCGCAGGGGGTCCCTCTGCAGTCAATTAGGGCCCCAGAAAGCATAAATCCAGAGGATTTCTGGAGTTTTACTTAGATTTCTTTATAATTATTGTACGAAAACGACAGGTGGAGTATGCCATTTGGTACAATACCCAATATAATTCGAGAGTGGGGATGACGTTGGTTATCCTTTGCTTTTCGTTCTGTCATTGAAATAAGAAACGGAACCGGAGAACCGGTGATAATGGACGAAACTGGAAGAGAGTACTAATATATGTATTTGAATTATTTAAGTAAAAAATGTACGATAACGATAATCCGTATTTGCCGTAATAGTTGTCTTTGAACTCGATACAGTAAGTCATCGATGCACCTAACGACACGAGTGCAAGCTTTACTCTGACAGCAATTTGGAAGGTGTGTAGAATTCTATTGTGTATAATAACCGGAAAGGAGCGTGTCAACAGTAAAACATCTGCGTACACGTGGTAAGTAAATTTTCGTTTCCGGTTCTTAATGACCAAGAAATCGAGATAATTATGACACCAGAATAACGAGACTCAGTACAAAGCAAGACGGCAAAAAGTCACACTTTCCATTAGTTATAATATCGGCGAAAACCTTTTCATTTTTCTCCTCGCTTTCTGTACTACGTTTCTGTATTTGCAAAATAAAATACTTAAATCCGGTAAGGCCGTGATATAGATTTGTATTAGCAGGAAGTCGGAAAGTACTGAAACATTCCGAACAAAAAATCCAAGTCCTTTAAATCTGGATCAGTGAAACCTTCACTGATTGAAGTAATAATCGAGCGTATTACCGCAGAACCAGTCTTCCCGTGCACCTTTCATTCTGTGGTGAATCACTTAAGTCTTTCTCAGCAGTGATTTTCGTTTCAAAGTATCACTTATTACAGGCGTAATACGTCGAAAAATGAAGAATGAAAATAATTCCGTACGAAGAATCGGGAAGACTGCCACGAATCGTGGAATCGGTTTTGTGGTAACATTTCCGCGTTTAAACCGCACATCGAGTTGTCCTTTTCCCGCCTGGAATCCTTCCGATCGTTATATTATACATTGTCTCGGTTATCAAATATTACAAGGAAGATGCGTATACACTTACTATAAAATTCAAGCGGTTTACGTATCTGAAAAATTTCTGTTCATGAGCATTTGGGGCATAAAGTCCTCTTTACTCCGTTTTATCTTTAACTTTGCAATGTTACGCCCCTCTCCCCTCGTTCCAATAATAAAAAAAAATTATCTTTATCCCGGAGACCTAATACATATATAGCTCGTAAGGGAAGTACATCAGGGTCTAATTAACACGTATTTTTTTTTATACACGTTAATTCGCGAGTTTAAGGAGCATAAGACCACACTTACAGTTGACTCTCAAAAACTCTCCTCGTAAATGAAATAAAATATGATATATTGTTGAAATCGCTGGTTAGAATTGAAGAAATTGCAAGCGGTCCTGTCGAGAAATATTATTTCGTTTGCAAGAAAATATCAAAGAACGTTTTGGAAGGTCAACTTTGAGGGCAATTTTCCCTCCTTAAACTCGCGAATTAGCGCGTATAAAAAAAAAACGTGTGTCTTATTTTTCTCTATACAATAACATATGTCAGAAGCAACAAAATCGGTAAGGTGTCTACACCTGGGATACTATCCTTGTAAGTGCATATCAGGGTTTCCTAGCTGTTCGATAATCATTCGTTTCTATTTTATCCCTCTCGCGTCTCACATAATAACCTCTAATAAAGTCATAATGCAATGAAATCCACTTACACGAAAGGACGTCGTATCTTTTATTCAGAACGGACACCCGAATTCGGGGAACCTTTTTCTCTCCGTTTTCGGGGCCAACGCGAAAGAAAAATGGCGTCCAGGTTACGCGGTCCAGGGTTAAAAGACTGCACAGGTATTTCCCAAAGACCCGAAAAGCGTTATAATGTTTAACAAATGGAAAGGTAAAACGCCCCCCCACGTGCCGGAATTTCTGGCTCGACGCTACGTGGCGCTGCCACCCACGCTGCAGGACGTAGACAACGCCGAAGACGACGGGTAATGCACGGTGTACGCATTGTAGACGAGGGCGACAATGCCCTGTCGTACAATAAGAATGGGACGTTATTGAAAGGCAAATGAGTCGCCGCTAACCGCTCCTCGTTCTTTCTATTGCGCACCCACATCCGCTGCTTTTCAAGTAGCACCCCAAACACGTTACGCAAATTAATGCCACGTTAACGCGCCTTTTCGTTGACCAGCCGAAGGAGTGTCACTATTTCGAGGGTCGTTTTAATAATGATTTATCGCCGGCCGGCAAGACTAATTGTTTACCGGATTGTATTGAAATTCTAGTAAAAACACTTGGCTCCAGAAGTCCCTGTAAAGGAATTTTCCAAATTTGCCCTGACTGCTTTCGCCGCGCATAAAGGAACAGATTATAAAAAGTTTAATCATTCCGAGGTGGTTGAAAAGTAGCTACTTCTTTAATAGTCACTTACCTAGGGGAGAAGTATTGATCAACCGTGTAAGTGCACATGTTAATGTCAGCTGACATCTTTTCGCGATGAAAGAACTTCCGGGGTTTTGTGTTTTCTCAAAAATCCTATTTAAAAGACAATCGATACCGTTCCAACTCTCTGCGGGAGGAGGGAATAACATTATAAAATGTTAAAATTGTTAAGTAAAGGTGTCTTCTTACCGCTACATAATTACTAACTCATATGCTTACTTACCCTGAGAGAGAAATCTAGGAAAATTAACTATTTTTTACCTAATTTTTATAGCTCAAGATGGACTCATTAACGCTCAGGCATATCCTAGTTGGATCATTTGCGAATCTATCATGAAAACAGAACGTTGAAAATGTGATGCACCGATCTTTAATATACACCATTAGTTCAGTTTAAATCCTGATTGTGACTTTCAAGTGGTACACCCGATGGACATGAGAATCAATGAATACTTACCACTGAACTAGACGCGGTAACTCTAGTATAAACATTTCTATATGAAAACTTTGTAAATATAACGAATTTCTACAATATTTTGCTTGAAATACATCATTCATCAATTCATCTTAAATTCGTTTAGCGAGAAAAATTAACTAATGAATGCGTAATTTAAATTTAGGCATGAACGACCAATTTAACAAGTCCAAAGGACATTACAATCGTACGCCGTAGTTTGATATAATAATCCCTGGATAACATGTAAATTATTAAGTTATGTCGTCAGGTCGAACAAATCGTCGTAAACAAATGATAGTGACGTTCGAAATATTCAAATGATATAAGAAATAACTGTTAATGTTTGATTAAGCCTTGGGTACACGTTTGTCGAGCATAACTTGCGTCAAAGGAAATGATCCAATAACTGAATTTTTCTAACGTCATCATCGCCGCCGAGAATTATGTAAACAAGATAGGAATAGGTCAATTATTCATAAAAAAATGTTACCATTATAATTCCATGCTATATCTCATTTATATTGTGGAATTAAATGTGCTGCTTGACGGCGTCTCCCGAATGAAAGATAAAACAATGTAGGAGCGAACTTTCATAGATTCGTTGCGTTTATAAAAAAGGGCACCGTCAAAATTATAATAAATTTAAACACAGGTTCCAAGAATCGTACGAAACATTCTAAGTTTTCCTATAGAGCGTTAATAGTTAATTAGCGGTTGGTGAATACTCTTTAATCTCAAGTTACACATACGGATTATTATTACTCACGAAAAAGTATCTTCGTTTTGCAAGCGACCGGCGCATAGATGCATTTGGTGCAAACCATCAGTATAGCTGATAGACTCATGTATGCTCATAATAAAAATAATCGACAATTATGTATGCTACTATATAGCTCGTTAAATAGTTAATCAATATCTTAATACGATTGCGCGCAGAATGTGAGAAATCTAAGGTCATAATTTAATTTGGTTATTGATATAATGATTTAACTTCGAATAAGAAATGTATACAAAACATAAAAAATCCAAGATATCAATCGATTGATTTCAAAGTGCTCCTAAATACTGATTGTTACCGCGCTATTGATACGCTTTTTCTTTAACTCCCATTTATAATCTTTTGCGATCCATTTTTTTCTTCTCATTATAGGCGTTTAAAAAATGTTTTAAAACCGTTACTTTTCAAGATGTCTATCACATTATCCAATAGCCGTTAAAGTTAAATATTAAAAGCTCTCTTAATAACACTCAAAACGTTTACAGAAAATATGAGCACAACATTTCTTTTATGACCGAAAAGACTCAGAGAGTCATGGTAAATTAAGTGTTCCGCATTCAAACGGTTATATCTTAAAAAATAAAGAATCAGTTCTATTATACTACATATTATTAGCGGGAAATTGATTGCGCATGTTGAAGATACCGAAATATCAGCGTTTTTAACTAGAACAGAGAATTTAACCGCCATTTTGTGGTAATCATTATTTTTCACAATACCATGTTGCCTCGGTGCAAATCATAGATGGCGCTGCAGTTCTATAGATGAAGTTCTTCGAATCAGCTAAAGATAGCGTTGCAGCCTTTGACACATGCCTGATAAGATGCAGAAATTAGCTTGCAGATATTCTACAAGATGGCACTGCATGTTCAACTTCCTCTAAAAGATGAATCGGGTACCACACATACCCGCAACAGATGAAGCGCTTTTGTAGCAGTGAAATTCTCACAGAACCAGAATATCTACAGCCATATTTATTTATACCCAAGAGTGATCATCAGTCTTTTAAATAAATACAATGTTTGTAATGCTATACACGAATAAATTACCGAATGACGAAAATCTTGTTCGTAATTTCAAAATTAGACATTATATAAAGCAAATGATATACATTAATTATAAGTATGATTTAAAAGAAACGGTCTTTACATCACGTTTAATGGCGGATCGAGAATTGTGCTGCCTTGTTGTACTTTAATTTTGTTACCAGTTATTTTATGATCAGAGACCAGTTAGCGATCTATTTACTCGTCTGTAATTGAAGCAATTTCAAAAGAAGCCTCAAATTGCCATAGTATAGTAGTCCTCTAATGATTTGTAAATTTATCTCCTGTAATGATGAAATAAATATTTAATATCCATTTGTGATTCATAGACAAGTCAAGTGGTTGTAATTTAATTACGCAAAGGTGATTTTGCAGACATCTTGTTGATACTATGTAATTTTATTATTCATACTACAGATATAAACGTAAAGATTGTTCATTCAGGTCAATTTTTTATTTTAAATTCTATTTAGTGTACTTTGTAGCCACTTTCGTGAGGCTATTTTGATAAATTGGATTGTTTCTAGATTGAGTTTGTGTGTCATTTACTTTTTGGTGATTGTCTAATATTGATTGAACTTATATAAATACTTTCACATTCACAGTTGTTGCTATGAAAGAAATGAAAGTTGTTAATTGATTGGCAATTTTGAAGTTTGAAAAAAAGTATTACAACTCTTGCATTTATTTTAATCATCGTAAAAATGTCGGACACTGACAGTCTAGAAAATGCCATCAAACAATACGAAGAACAGGTATGATTTGTCTAAACTGTTATTACAAAATTGATAAGGAGCCAACATTACTTAATGTCACTAATAGAATTGTATTGTATCTTAAATGATTTTACATGCTAGTTTATCCTAATGCCATAAGTTTGTCACCAGTAGTTTTGTTCACATGTAGCTGTCACAAGTCTGCCTGGCATTGTCCGCAACATCGGAAGGTTCCGATAGAGATGATTTATTCAGGCTGCAGTCAGATTTGCAGGAACTAATTAGTTTAACAAAAGAGAATTTACAAACGGAGAACAAGGCAAATACTGATACTAGCGTACTTGTATGTAATACCCAACAAACTAACAATTCATTAGATGAAGAATATGCCTTATTTGAGGTAACACTTCATTTTTCAAAATTCATAGTAAATAAGTAGATTTGTATATGAGATTAATTATTTTTAAACCTTTAGGCTGAATTGGCAGAGAGGCCGCCAGATTCTCAGAATGAATCGGGAGCAGAGAATTCGAACACTATTGAAGTTAGTAAGCCAGTATTTGGTAATGCTTATCAATGATACAGTTATACGGTGCAAGTTGATATTGTAGGAAGACTTGAAGGCACTCGAAGGTATGAAATGTCGAGCTCCTCATGGAAGTAGTTGGGGTGGCACCGGGTACCATAATGCCATGGTGTGCTCGGTTCTCAACAGCGATGACGATACCATCTCAAGCATGAATGATATTAAGGTTAGTTATACTTGTACGAAATATTAAAATCTTTTATTCTTCACTTTTTAAATTTCCACTTGTGGCAGGTATAGATCTTTAACCACTGTTTTTTAAGTGTAGTACCAGATTTCTTTACTTTTGATCTATATCTACGGTTTAATAGTAAATTGATGTTTAATTAATTACTTTGGTATCACAGGTTAAGGTCTTATTTATTAATCCAACACACAAAGAAATGCTTCCTTGTCCTTATTTTCTCGATGGCATGTGCAAATTTTCTGACAGCCAGTGTCACTTCTCACATGGAGAAATTGTACCACTATCTACCTTACAGGAATACAGGTATTTTGCATTATTAACTGGTTTACTTTATGAAAAGAATTAAATTCTAAAAAGGAAAATTAAATAATTAAATGTTTTCAGAGAACCTGACTTTTCCAGTATAAAAATGGGTAGCAGAGTATTGGGACAACAAAAAACTAAATTATGGCATAGATGTATTGTATTGAAAACTCCGGAGAATGAGAATGATCTCTATCGTGTAAAATTTGAATCTAGTGGGAATATTATTGAATTAAGTCTACAAGATCTTCTCCCTCTTAGTATGTTTTCGTTCTCAAACCATTATTCTTATAATACAGTGTTATTCAAATCAAGAATTAATAACAAGGGTCGTAATAACAGATGATGCTGAGTTGGAGATGTCAGATTCATCCGAAGATAGTGATGTTGAGATTAATGATGAACGAGTTACAACAGAGTCCATCGATGACCAAGTTCACAAATCATTACTCACATTAAATTCAACCGAACCACTAGGGAAGTGGGAACAGTATACACGTGGAATGGGTAGTAAACTTATGGCTCAAATGGGTTACATATCTGGTACTGGATTGGGTAGAAGAGCAGATGGCAGAATTATTCCTGTCGAAGCAACTGTTTTACCTGCTGGAAAATCTTTAGGTCTGCTGAGTTCCATTATTGCTTTTGTAATGTGTGTTCATGTAATACTATAAATATCAATCTTTTCCTCAGATCATTGTATGGAACTACGTGAAAATGCTGGAGGTGATGAAGATCTATTTTCCGTACAGCGTAGAATGCAGAAAGAACAACGTAAATTGGAGCAGAAACAAGAAAAATTATATCAAAAGGAAAAACAGCGTGAAAAGAACAATGTATTTAACATTATCAATGCTGCTTTAGGTGACAAAGGTTTCTATTTGTTCTTTATAAAACTGACACGATTCAGTTTTAATCATTAACTTCATCATTATACTACATTTAACTTTAATGAATTCATATCTTCTCTTGATAGGTGAAGATAAAAACAAGCCAAGCAGTTCTAAGAATAGAACAGATTTTAAAACAGAGTCAAATAGAAAATTGAACGTCGCCAGTTTCCAAATTAGTGAAAACATTGCTCGACTTGAGAAGGAATCCCTAAAACTTAAGGATTCTCTAGGAAGACATGCAAAAGGTAGTTTGCATTACAATAATATTGTACTGCAATATAATGAAAAACAAAGACAACTTACTGATCTACGTACCTGCGAACGACATATAACCGCTGAACAGAATCAACGAAAGAATAAGACTAAGCTGACAGTATTTTGATAAATAGCAGTAATTTTACATATACTCTGCATCCATAACTTAATTTTCGATTTAATATTAATGTAAATAGTAATAAATATACATAAAAAAGTTAATGTTTTGTATATACAGTTTTCATACCTTGCCCTTGAAATCTATTTCATTAGGAGTTGAGTGGTATCAGAGATGACATCTCTGGTGGTTGTCTAAAAGATGGCGACGCCCACGGTCAAGTATGTTTCATCTCCTAGTGTATTATTATATTTAACTTCAGTTAATACACTTTTTAAATATTGTGTTTCACTACTTAATTTATATATACAGGATTGCGTTCTTTTTTTAGATTGGAAAAATGCGAAGTTTGTGCTTCAAATAAAGCAAAATATACGTGTCCGAAATGTGAGGTTAGAACGTGCTGCCTCACGTGTCTTAACGTTCATAAAAAGGAACTTGAATGTAATGGCATTAGAGACAAAACAAAATTTATACCTCTACATTCGTTTACTGATCTTGATTTACTTAGCGGTGAGTATTTTAATTGTTTTGATATAAAAAGATTAAACAGTTGGACACTAACAGAAATTCTATAATAAATTTCAATTTTATAAATGATTGAATTATTTTTGTTTATTGTCATTATGTTTTGATTTGTAGATTACCGTCTGCTAGAAGAGATTGGAAGATCAGTAGATAAATTACACAGAGACCCAACAAAAAGGTACACGAGACAAGCTGTTCTACCTGTGGTAAGTTATATTTTAAAATAATTTTTTGTGAAGAATGTGAAATTGATAATTTTTGTTACAGCATTTACATCGGTTAAAAGTGGCATTATGTAAACGAGGTACACGATTAGAAATACTACCTCAACATTTTAGTCGACATAAAGAAAATACAACGTTTTTGAACTGGAAAACTAGAGAACTATTTTGGCGATTACAATGGATTTTTCCCCAAGCAGAAAACATTAACTGGTCAAATCATAGGTACAAAACTATTTTCACCTGGTACAGTTAGAATTATGGCATGAATTTGATAAGATTTAAAATGAATTTGATAAAAATGTTTAGAGTATCAGAAAATGAGAGACTAGCAAGTGCATTAGAAAAAGTACTGGAACCTATCAGCGAATCAAATATTGTAAACAATGAAGAGCCTAATGTTAAGGCAATACTTTTTGATAAATTGCAATATTATAGAGCAGCAGGAATAGGACATATAAAGGTATTATTAAAAGCTGAAAAATTGGAAAGGTCGGATTCTAGGTATGTATATCTGTAGCTACATTAAAGAGAATTACAAATTAACTAATTTTTTGTTGTTATAGGTTTTATGAATTAGATATGACGTTGACGTTTAAAGATAATTTTAAAGGGAAAACAATAATTGAATATCCAACCTTGTATGTGATTTTATGGGATCACAGGAACATGTATGAAATTGTGGATACTGGTAAATATTATCTTTTTTGATTCATATAAATCAAAAAGTTTCACATGCATTCATTTTATCACCAAATTTTATACAGATGACGAAGAGGTAAAGACTGAAGAGGAGAGTGACAAGGTTGTAAGAAATAAAAGAAAAAGGAAAGACATACGTAGTTGTATCAATGATAGGAAAAAAGAAAATCCAATCAATTATTTTTTTAACACCGATTTCACGGATTCAGAAACTGAAGATACAAATGAGAGTGAAGAGAGGAACAGAAAGCATTCAAGACAAAATCTAAGTATACCAGACTATAATACATTGGTAACAATGAAGAAATAATAATATGCCAAATACTGCAGTCTTATATAATCAATTTATAAATTTATAGAAAACTTTTTTCTGACAAAATAAGCAATTGTGTCAGTATAAATACATTGCCTGAAGAAACTACTTTAATTGAATTTGATACAAATATTACAACACTATTATAAACACATTAAATTTATTATATGTCTTTTATATATTCTACACTAATTCGCCCATGCTAAATAACCTACCCAAAAGTTTATGCCTGACAATAAATATATCATACTAATATTTTTTGTATGAATGTTATGGACAGGATCATTCCATACTAAATCATTTTTGACAATTAATTATATATCTACTTCGTAAAATAAACTTATTATCAATATATGACAGAAATTCCAATGTCAGCAAAGCAGCATGTACTGATATTAACGAAAAGATTTTATACATTAAAACTGGCATCAATGTAAAATGTGTGCATTAGTATACCTTTTTATGAATGTTTTAAATGTTTATGTACAAAAATGAAACTTCAAAAGTCAAAAGTTAAGTGTTATTCATTGATACATTTTTACAAATGAAAACATTGCAGTACTCACCAAAACGAATCTGTATGCAGAAAATGCTTTTACGTCATAATACTGATGCTGCAGCAAAATCTTGTAAATATGTAAAACAAACATTTATGATAGCAATGTACTGTGATTAGCAATAAAATGCTTACGAATTGATATCTATTTTCAAATAGAACTTACGTTTCGTCCATGTGTGTAGGTACGTTCAAATAACCTTTTTATCTCACAATTATTATATTATACATGCTTGCTTTTCTGTTTACCTTGTAAAAATTACATTTTTATGTATAATAGTGAATGTGTGAGTTTTACCTATTAAACATAAGTAGAGTTTATCCTTGGAAACGGTAGCTCAGATGAATAGTCCCATAATTAACAGAATGTTAATCATTTAACATAACAGTAACAGTGATGAGTGACTTTTTAGTAAATTAAAAGACAAAGAAATATAGCAGGAAGACAAGGAAAGCAACGAGTCCAGCGACTGCCTTGATGTACATTGATTTGCTGTTCAAGTGTGCTGCATCCTTCCTGTATTTCTGAGACAACATTGACAAATTTTGTGTCTTCGTATCCAATTCTAAAAATTAGTAAGCGACATTTATAAAGTTGTAAACTGATTCTAATTTTACAGTTTAACAAGTACACATGGTTCTAAGATTTGTTATGAAATGTATAATTACCCGAAAGAATAGTTCCTCTTTGCAAAACGTCATCAATATTCTGAACCATTATTCTTTGAACATCTTGCAATTGATTATTCAGTACATTCATATTTCTACGAGATCTACCATCCGAAAATGTTTTTTGAGCCTTCTTTATATAAGTGTCTGTAAAAAAGTGATATGCACAAGTGGTCTTCGAAATCACAAGAACTTAATGAATAAATTGTATACATACCAAATTCAATAAAACTGTATGGTCTAGTCACTGTATTTACACGTTTACCATATTGGCAATGAAATTCCTGGGCAATGTCTTCCAAATAACTGTATGCCAACCGTTTGCTATAGTTTCGTTCACATAGCACCAGATAACACACATCATTTTCAATCAAATAACTATAGCAGAAAGAAAGGATTGAAATTACAATCTATGATATAACGAATGTCTTCTATATCAAGAATACGGTGGTACTTACTGGAATAAATAAGGTCCAGTTTCTATTGTGCATCTCGTAGGAGACTGGGGTCCGAGCTTTCTAAATAACATTTTTGCTTGGTTCTGATACTCCAAAATACTTCTCCCACTCTAAATAATGATTAGAGACGTAAATAATCATGACTCTATTTCAATTACAATTTATTTATTAATTGCATCATACATTTATTTTATTGCTTACACTCTAAGATATTCTAAAGGTACCTAAAAAGAAATTTATTTACTTTCTTTAAAACATTCGTCAAAAAGTAATTTCACGTAAGAAAAAATCATTGTTCTACTTCAAGCGACACAGTCACATAAAAAAATGTGGCTGACACGTAGATAACTTTGGTAAATCATCTTCATTTAGGTAACGTTTAAAACAGAAAAATGTGTAGAACGATACGAAATTCAAAGGATCATTTTGAAAATGACATTTCATCATAATGGCAACCTAACCTGTTCATCCTCTTGCATGGTTGCAGCCATCGGCAGGCCGTCCGCTATCCTTGCAATCATCGTTAGCAACACCATTTTCTCTTAAATATTTACAGAGTTAGTTTGAATGTACAGAAACTAAAGTGACAAATATTGGCGTTCGCCGAATTCGGAAATCTCAAAGCTCCATTTGTATAAATCGGACCTCGGATGTGGCCAGTTCACGACGTCCCCGCTTCGAGCATACCACGTCAGTCACTTCGAACCCACCGCTGACTTTGCGAGAAGTTCCAACTCATCGGGTTTAAATGAATTTAAATACGCATCCTAATTTCAAACAAAGAAGCGCATAACTAGTTATTATCTAAACTGTAACCTTCCAAGTTTAATGAAATCGTATCAATTTTCCAATAAGTTGTGTAAGGCTATTGATCTAAAATATTTAAAAACTGGCGCTCGGAAGCGAATATGTTTTACGGCGTTCATTTTATCACGTTTTGTGACCAAAGAATATAGGGGGTCTATTACATAAAACAAATTGAGCGAAAATGTGAAAAATGAGTAACTCACAGTATTACGGAACGTTTTTGGTGATGAAAATGCGAGACCATTGATATGAATTGGCTTGGCACAAATTTTTATGCGAAATGGTGAAACATAGGTACGAGTCCTCTTCTTTACTTTTAATCTTCCCGCCTTTTCTGCCTATAACATACTACCTTTTAACAATTTTCGATTTACAAGGTATCTACCTTTATTTACCAATATTACTAAACCGGAAATGCTAGTGATCTTGTTCTTTCATATAGCGAATACGTAATTCAGCGAATAAACCCACGTGAGATGAAAGTGCGAGAAGTGGGCGCTCTCGTCAAAAATACGTAATAAGCGCCCTGGTTCATACTATGTGTCTGTCAATGTCTATGCTTACACTCATCGCTGCTTTGGTCTCCGTCCATATATTCTCATTGCCCATGGTCAAGGAATTGTATTCTTTGGTTGGGATAAACGTTCAAATGTGAGCTTGAGTGTACATACCGTAAAATGGTGTGAAAATTAACGTTGTGGAAAATGATTATCGTACTTTTTCATGTGCTTTACCTTCTCGGGAAATATATCTACCAGAGCTATTGCAGTGAGCAACGAAAAACAGAGAGTGATATCGTAAAAGAACCGGAGGAGAGGCACTACATCTCTGATGGTTCTGCGATTGCCGCTGAGAAGATAAATTCTTTAACACAGGATTTCGGTGACATTAGATTTTTTCCTCCCGTTTACATTCAGAGATATGAAAGCGTCACGAATGTCCTCACGGATTCTCGATATCATGGAAAATTACACAAGGTATTGAACCTTCTTAGCTGCCCTTGTTTCTATTTGTGCGGCAACGTGTTTAACCTTTATCATCGGATATCTGATCATGATATTATACAAAGTACAAAATGTCATGGGAGGGTCGATATCCCACGAGGATCTGTAATGATTTAATTGAAAATAAGTTAATGAGCAACATATACACTTAATGTTTATGAGTATTATGATGTGCTTGTAGCTTGTACTTGGCAAAGCTAACCTGTCTCTTCAGCTTATTGAATGGAAACTTGATCGTTTATTTCATTCAGTCTTGAGAAATTCTTTTGTTGAATTATAATTCTTAGATGCTTTGGGATCATTACGTAATGAATGAAAACTTGGCAGGTTTCATTTTGTTCAGAAGTAAAACTTTCCGAATAGTTTCCAAAGTTGTTTTCTCGTAATATGAGGGTGTTATTCTTTTAGGTGGTTGATTTTGGATGCTCAGAACTTGGTTTCTTCATTTATTTGAAACGCATAAAAGGAATAAGAGAGGTATTATGTGTCGACGTGGATAGGGAAATCCTTGAGATACATAAGCGGAAGGTTGTTCCACTCTATGCAGATTTTCTTCACAAAAGAGAAGATCCTCTTAAAGTCCATGTATATGAAGGCAGTGTCACACACAGAGAAAAAAAGCTGGAAAATTGTGATGCTGTTGTCTGCATAGAATTGTATGTTTAATTGTAGATAGTTAATTTCATGCATTTGGTCTCGATTAATTATATATATAAGAGGATAATTTTAAAGAGTTTATATTATCCTTTAGGATTGAACATTTGTACCCGGATACAGAAATAGATCTTCCTTATAATATTTTTGGATACATTAAACCACAAGTTGCAATTATAACAACTCCTAATGCAGATTTCAATGTATTGTTTAAAAATTTATCTGGATTTAGACATCCAGATCACAAATTTGAGTGGACGAGGCAGCAGTTTCAAGAATGGTTCGTGCCATTTTTTCATGCTTGATTGTTTAAATTTGCCATTAAGTTTACACATGAATTGTCTTATTTATTAGGTCATGGAATATTATTTCACGGTACCCTGAATATGAAGTATCGTTTCATGGTATTGGTTGTGGACCATCAGGTACTGAACCTTTCGGATGTTGTTCACAAATGGCAGTCTTTCATCGCCATTCTGAATACATAGGTGCAAGAATAGAAGGGATTGAAGGATTATTTAAAGAAGTGATTTCAGATGAATATCCAGTTTGTATTGACAATCGTTCGGACGCAGAGAAAATATTACATGAGGCTACATATTATATTCACCAAATTGCTTCATGTGATGAAGACATGTCCGAGGAAGTTCCACTGGAAAGTCTATTGCTGTATATGGGATCTTTAAATATTTCATTAGAGATCCTCAAAGAGATTCTTGAACAAGCTGAATGGGCTATTGTGGAACGGGAAAATGGACCTGTTGTCTTAATACCACCACAATCAACATTTTCTGATTACGATAATATAGATATTGCAGACGATGAATATGAGGACCAACAGGAAGAGATACCAATGATATATACTAATAATACTGTCGGTGAAGATTGGAACGATGAGGTATGGAATGAAGAACCAATAGTAGAACGTGAAAATGGATCGATTGTCTTAGAACAATCAATATTTTCTGATTGTAATAATAAACAATATAATGGAAGATTTTCTCCTGTAAATGAAATGTATCAATCTGAGAATACGTGGAGTACTGAAAACTTTGATACATCTGTTAATATTGTCAATTTAACAGATGAAAGCAATTATGCTGCCAATAATTGTCAAGCACAAGACCCAGATGAATTTGAAGTTGTGACCAATTCAAGTTGCTCCTTGGAATCAAGTTTTTCCCAGAACGTTCTTGCTTCTAACTTACAGGAATCTTCTCTCCCTGGTGGCAGAACTACACCAGAAAATAGATTACCTTCTCTTTGTAATGAACCGACTACAATGCATGCACAAAATAAGGACAATTTATGCCAAACTACTTTTTCTTCTTTACAGTGTAATTCAATTGCACAAGAAAACAGTCTTGAAACATCACGAGCCGCTATATCATCTTGTGATGTTGTGGATGGTAATAACGAAAATTTAAGTTTAGATGTTCAAAAACCATTCAACAACGTATCTCGAAAAGGTAAATTGAAACTACTTTCGTGTGCAAAAAAAACTGAGTTTAAAAAAACTGCTGAGGGTAATCTAGAAGGAGAAGAAGAAGAAACTAGTATACAGAGTCAATTTTCGATGAATTCTTCTTGTCAGAATAAACAGAGTGCAAAGCCTAATAAAAGGCAGTTGGAAAATGGTGATACTTTTCTCCAAGGGAGCAATGAAAATCTACATGAATGTGGAATTTTCAATGATCACAATAGTTCCTGCAGTGTACACAAAAGGATGCGACAAAACACCAACAGAAATGTACATACTCAAAGTGCTATTGATACATCGGTCAAACATACTGTAATAGAAGCGTGTAGCGATCAAGACAGTGGTTACAAAGATACAGAATCGAATATGTTGAGATTCAAGTTTGAAGATAAAAGTATTCTACAAGGCCATGAAATAAAATTAGACTCTACTTATTCTTTACTTAGTCTTGCTAACTATGGTTCAAGTTCCCATCCAACGTACATAAGTTCACCACGCACATGCGGAGAGAACCAAAGCTCTGGTAATATCCAGCAATCTGCATGTAGGAATTGGTGTCTAACCGAAGGAGCTACCGAAAGTGAAAATGAACCTTCAACTGGCACCGATGATCTTATTAAATTGATTCACGAATCTGTTAGCATAACGTCCGGAGAGTCAAATAGCGTAGGCCAATTGGAAAGTTCAAGCCTCACTTCACTGCCTAGTAGCGATAACATCAGTGATTGCACTTCATCTAGTATTAGCTGTAATATGATGGATAAATGGTACCAATTGGAAAAGAATCCTATGTATCAACGAGAAGCAGTAATGCTAAAAGGTGGAAATGACGATGCTGACCGTCCTCTTGATGAAATCACCTCGGACAGTGACTTGGCCTTATCGGAAAGTAATCAAGGTAAAGAGAAAGAAGTATCGAAACATATACATCAAGTGAAAGAAGGACCTAGTAATTGGACTTGTAGGAGTCATCAACCAAGAATCCTTCTGGATGAAGCCTCTGCAACAAAAGATGATGAAAGTCATTCATTGGAATCACAAGGAAAAGAATCGAACCATAGTGAAAAGATAAGTAATATGCTCGATGGCCTGTCTGAAAGTGGCTTAAGGTTAAACAATTTATTAAAGACTTGTACTACAGATCAACAAGATCAATTAAAACAAATGAATCAAGAAAGAAGAAAGAATGAGGATACCAAAACGATTAAAGCTGCAAAAGATACGGATGTTTCTTCCATAGATTTTACAGAAAGTCTATCAAAAGTAGAAGGAAAGATGTCAGGTAAAAAAAGTAATAGGAAAGAAAAGGTGAAATCGACAGGTAGTGACATTCTAGTCCTGCGTTCAGAGGATCTGGTTTCTTCTAGTGTATCCACTTCAGATGTTGACATTTCTTCAAAGAGGAATATGGATGCTATCTCTAGTGGAACAGTTGATGTTCTCAGTACGAATAACGATAGCTTAAAGGCTATTGCTGACTACGTTAAAGCAGCAGATCAAGAATGTTTACAACCTGCGATACATATCACCAAAGATATTACAGACAGGATGGAAGAAGCAAAAAATAAATTGAAAACCGTTTTCGAAGATATCGAAAGATTGGCAGGCACGATTCCTTTACCAAAGGATTTGCCAGAAAGATTACAGGTTGATTTAAACTTGAGTGCAAGTTCTTGCGGATCGCAGGATAGACTCGATACTTCTCTAGGAGAAGACACAATAGAAGCATTATGTCCAGTAAAAGATTTAGGACTGACTGCGGATTCAATACATCTCGAAACAAGTGCATCGCGTGAAAGTTGCAGAAACGTAGAGTCGGTGACATGCAAAGAGAGCACATCTTCGACTCAACCCTCTGCTGCCAAACCCAAAGATACCATTCGGTTCAAAACGTCCGAATCAGCAAAGGACTTTGCAGAGCATGCTGAAGTAAAACCAATATCTCCGGAAGTTACGGAAACTCCACCTAATAGTTGGTCTCCAGAAATCATGGACTCTGGTTACCCAAATTCAGCGTCAGCTCAGGACATGACTCCAGAGTATGACCTGTCTAGCATAGGTATCGACAGGATATCAGACTCCGAATCACCAATTGCAGCTGAAATGCCTCGATTGGGCTTCGCAGAGTTAGCAGAAGTGGAGAACGGAGACCTGGCAAACAATAATAGAGATGGGGAAGGTAATAATGTTATGGCAGCAGAAGCCAATGACGATTTCGAAGACCTCCAACCACTTATAGATGTCCTCGAGAATGACATGGAGAATGAAAATGATATTTATGTTTTGGAAAACGGGTTTCCTCTGTGGTTACTTAGAATACTGGTAATGGCCAATCCCATCGATGCGGATGGTGGTCCAGAATTTGAACGAGCCGGTGAAGAAGCAGCAGGTAACGATGGTTTCTGTCAGTAATGTTATCTCTCATCTAAAAAACCTGAAAGTAAATCCTTACGCTTAACCATTTGAAAATTTCAACAAGAAGTCTTAACTACGAATCATTTATTTGATCAAAACTTATTAGGCTCCAATAAATTAGATTCACCATGTAACATAATTGTTTATAATCAAGAGTCGGGGTAGTGGCTCGGACAAGTTCATGGCTGCTCTTTTTTATTTTTGCACCAAAGGTGGTTTTTATTGGGATATAAAACACAGGAGAATATTTAAGAAAGAATTTAAAGGAACAATGCAAATATCATTCGATATATTTATAAGTTGACCTTCGTAAAAAGTATTTATTATAAAAGAATTTTATACGAATATGTGAAATACTTATAGGTTTTGAATAGTTCATTAACATATTAGTATTTTGGGTGTTCAATCAATTGGTGTGTACAATGAAGTATAATTCATTAGTACAAATGTTTATGTTTATTTATTAGGTGGCGATGCACCCATTATGCATATAGATTCAGACGAGGGTTTTGACAGTAGTTCATCGGAAGATGACAGCGACGATGAGATTGGCGATGACATCGTAAATCCACAAGGTGTCAATGAAATCGAAGACGCAGACGATGTCACCACGCAGTCAAGTGATGTTACCGAAAACGAGAGTTTAGGAAGTCTTAGAAGAGACTGGAGGGCTGGGGGAGATCCATGAATGATTTAACGAATCTTTTTAAAATCAGAGGCACGTACGGAAGACACGAAAGAAAATTGAAAAGCTAAAATAATGTATTGGGTTAATTTTGAAATATCATTTCGACAGGTCTAATCACCCGATGAGCTACGCTCGCCGGATGCTTCGCATTCCAAAGAATGCACATCTTTTGAGAAATCATCGACAACTTACATAAATAACTGATTGACACTTATCTATTCATACATCTTCGACGAAGACAAGGTGGATTTAATTTTAGTTTGGCAGTATGAATACATGTCATCAAAGTAAATGTCACAAGTGATTTGAGACTCTAAAATAAGAGCTTCAAAGTAAGCTATTCAGTTATTCAACCAGTGAGAACTGGCATTAACTTCTGACATGCCGAAGATCTGTTGACGTATCGTTATTTTTGCAATTCGCCGAATTTTGAAACTGCGCATACTGTTAAGAAATTAAGAGATAAATATCACAATAGATTCTGTATTTTTTCTTACGACAGTCGTGTTTCAGTATCTCTCTTTTTTTTATTATTATTTATATCCTCTCGTAGACGTTTTATAGATACACAGTTTAACTATCGTAATTTGCCAAAGTTTATCGGCTCGTTATTTCTTGGTGTAAATGCGATTTGTGTTCTGTTAATGAAATCGTTCATTCGCGCAAGAAGGTTTACTTATGTTGAGATATGTTTTTAGAAACACTTAGATTAATGCGTGTAAAATGTTCTAAGACTGAAACTGCATATCGTTCCGCTTACGAAATGATATGAAGACTTTCCACAAATAAATAGTTGTTTTAGGGGATTTCCTCGCATTTCTACCCTCGCACACAAAACAAATATAGAAGGGTTTAATTGAAAAAGAATATTCTGAATTGAAAGCCTACGCGATTCCTTTCGGCACAAATATTTACAGTATTTCAAATGAAATTATCATTATAGATGGCATTAGCTTTTTAAAGACTGACAGAAGTTTTTGTAATAGTTCTTTTTAGTATCGTCCCAGGAGTTTAAGAATTAAATTCCTACTGACCACCTCTAATCCTATGTAAAGTTATAGTTATAGCATTAGTATTAATAGGAGTAGATCATGATCGAGGTAAATTAAAACAGCAATTCGGTATCTTTCTTTATTTCAATAAGAGTGGAATGAAATTACAGGATGTACAATGTTACACTTGCAGGGAACGTAACTCTAAGTCTTTACACGACCGATTAATAGCCAGTTGAATGAACCTTATCCTTTCTCTTTATTATTTACAGAAAGTGTTCGCCTTCAGCATCTGTCAATTGGGAGACTTTACATTGACCACCACGAGCTTCCACAGTTTTTAAATAATAACGGCGTCAAACCAATTTCGCAGCCAATGTGCGGTCATTAAAAGAATCACCTAAAGTTGTAGCAGGGACGGTGGAAGAAATGTTTGAAAATTAAATTCCGGATCGTCGAGCCGCGATTTTTACAGTCTATCCGCTGATAAATCATGACGATCACGAACGAATTCCAAATTCCCTAATTAACTGTACACTCTACACATTAAAATAAGTAACCATCCAAATTGAGAGCGAACTATAAACTTTAATGGGGGGAGAAATCTCTGTTCTACCACTAATCCTGCTTCGTATAACAATGGCAAAAAAAACAAAGTGTCAAAATGTGAGAAACATATCCTAAGAAACATTATTGCCAGTTCGAGCGTATATAAACGCAAAAACAATTGAATGACAAAACTAGCACACCTTGGTTCTAACCCCTTGCCTTGTAAAGAGTAATACTCGTGTCGAGTAACGTTTCAAATTCAATCGTGGGAAAAGTCATTGGGCAAGGGGTTAAAGTCTAGTTATTTAATTTTACGAACATTGCGAGTCTGTGTCGAGGCACTTTCAACGTGGTATGTCATTGTCAACGCTGTTGCGCTCGTCTTGCAATACCCTTTCCGTAAAATTTCAATTTTCACGATTTCCTCTTTCGTACCCTTACGATAACAAAGCGCTCTTTACATTTACGACCTAAGGAGCGACTTCGGTGCAAAACGGAACCTTAAAGTACGCACTGTCCCTCTGTCTAAAAATAAGTTACGTACCGGTATGACGTGTTCTGCAAAATTACATGCGCGCCTAGTATCTTTTATTCTACAACTCATGCCTTCCATTTACCACCATACCAAAAATATCGCTCGGAGATAAATACATTTTGGACAGTGCACGATAATGACCTTCGCCTGAGGTTCGCTTTCTAGTCGTGACGCCGACCTTTGGGTCTAGCTGTGTTTCAAAATCGGTCTAAAATCTCCTCTATTGATCCTTGTCAAATCACCCAGGCTAATAGTGCACAGGAGAAAATGTATCAGCTCGGTCTAATATGGAATGTGAACCCTAGAGCCCTTCCATGCAAAACAAGGCGGTACAAAAAGTTAACTAAATAATGTACTCTTAGTCGTTACTATTCCGCCGTGTACCGTTGGACATGATAGAATTGTGGCGGATACTCGTACGGTTAATTACCTACGTCCTTATGACGAGATCACGTTGCATCGTTTATGTAAGACTTGCGCGTCTTGAATCAGCCATTTACTCGCAAAATTCGCGGAAATCATTCTTCTAAGGTTTATTCCCGCGTCCTCGTTACGCGGATGTGGACATTGTAGCTAACAAGATCTCTGTACAACGTCTTGGGTGTCTTATATCATTCAATGACAAGATTCCGATTGTATCGCTCAATTAATCGGGTTTAGTCTGCTGTATGGTTCATATTCCTACGTCCTTGCGATACGGATGTGGACAGAGAAAGCTGGAACTGGCGAACGTATCGTAGATCTGTGATCGACGTCGTCGGGCTCGTGACGAGCTTCGTTCTTCCTAGCTTTCTTAGACTAGTTTCGTACAAAACGCAGCGTATGCATTTAGAACTTGATCCTCCTGGATCGTGGAAATTTTCAGTCTCGCACATGCCCATTCAAAGGAGATTCCTCTTATCCTCCAATTTGTCAAGCGGCGCGTGAAACTTTCGGTATCACAGGATAACCTGTTGAGGATATAAATTACGTCGTCGATCGGATATACCGGTGGATCCCTGCGAATAATGATGTCTTTTTCGTTGCTTCTTAAAAGCCGAAACTTTCAAATGCCTCCTATTACGTAATTATATTTGCAATTAGACATCTCCAAGCGTGAATCTCTGCCCTCGCTGGCACGTTTACATAATTTAACCTTACGTGAAAATTTTCCTTCGAATTGATCATTCCGTTATCATCTCTTCCCGTTCAATTAAATTGAAATCTTCAGAAGTTATGGTTTTTTCCTTTTTTTTTTTTTTTTTAAAGGACGGCGAGAAGACGGTTCTTATTTCTGGAATCCACCGCTACGTTTACGTGTCTTTGATCTGTCTTATAAAAAGGGGCTAAAGGAACGGGCTTAAAAGCTACATCGCGGTTTGGTGTACGACGTCCGTACGAACGAGGACTCCGTATAAACGGAATATACTTGTAAAACGTAACAAAAGTGTCTCCTTAAGAACTAATGTCTTCCGGTAATGTCGACTCCGTCGCGGGGTCGAAAATTCGCATCGATTGCGATCCGTGAGACGCGAGGACAAAACTTGTTTAGCAGTATGCCTTACAACATTACGCTCAGGCTCGGGCACGCAAATACACGGCTTCGTGTCCTAACAGAAATCCTTCTCCAAGATGACGACCTTCTGGTTCCTCTTCTAGAGTTCTCGAGGAATTCCCTGTCCGGTCAAATGTTCCCTGTTCCGGGAGTCTCCTTTCGGTTTTGCTTCGGCTTCCTTCTCACGCTTCTCCCTTAACTCTCATCTACGTTTCCGGGGGTCTGTCGACGTACCTCTTCTGCTGGGAAATTCGCCGTATCACACGGCTTCCTTAAGACTGTCGCGACTCTGCGAATGTATCGTGTGTCTCATCTCTCCCCCGGGAGCGCTATCTCGTCTCAAGACTCCAGGGGCCATTGCTTCCCGTTTATTGGTAGCCTCTTTTATACTTGACAAGGTTTTACTGAGCCAGGGCCAGCTATTCCTCGCAGCCTGCAGTTCCGATGCAGTTGCGTGCAATTGATGTGTCAGGTCCTGGGAATAAGACATAGCGTTAAGCAAGAATTTCGTGTCGACCTAGATAATTCGGTTACAATCTTTCGAAAGAATTATCCAGGTTTACAGTAAATTAGTAGGAAAAGAATCGGATGATCAATTAACCCTTTGCACTCGAGGTCTTTTTGGCCCGGACGATCCAGCAACTCGAGACGATTTCCTGCATACTTGGGAAATTTCATCCAGCTAACTTAAAATGATATCACATACAAATTAACGTATAAAACTATTATATTTTAATATTCTATGTATCTCTACACGTGAAAGAAGAAAATTTGTTAAATATTAACCCTTTTAGTGCCGGAGGCCGATATATCGGCCCTCGCTGCACTGGCGAAAAGTGCCAGAGCCGATATATCGGCCCGCACCTTGTAGCGCTTTACTATTCGCTTTGCGAGAGATCTCTATCTCAAAATAAATTTATAATACGTTATAAATAGTCTAATTTCATTACGAGAGAATTAAAATAACAATACAACAGCACCTATAACAACCTATAACGCTGCACTGGCGAAAAGTGCCAGAGCCGATATATCGGCCCGCACCTTGTAGCGCTTTACTATTCGCTTTGCGAGAGATCTCTATCTCAAAATAAATTTATAATACGTTATAAATAGTCTAATTTCATTACGAGAGAATTAAAATAACAATACAACAACACCTATAACAACCTATAACCTACAACAATTACTTGTTTCGGATGAGATAATCCGTCCGGCGCCTACCATGTGCCTTGGAGTTATTTTTTATGTTTCTTGTGCAATATCACTTATTTTGTTAAAAAATATATTGGAAATTTAAAGTATATACTTTGCAATAAACGGTCTATATAAATTTATGATAAAAAGATGACATTTCCTACGTGCAATTATGTTTTGAAACAGAGAACTCAATTTTTCTTTTTTTTTTATCACATATACCTTTGTTATTTATGTAATTTTCAATGAATATAGAAAAATTAGCGTCGCTGTTTTATTCTCTATTTTGTCCTTAATACCCTGCTTTTTGAATTATGTAAATATTGCTTTTCGTTTGGTTTTTATGAGCCTTTTTCCACATCCTAGTAAAATCGTAAAATTCGGCCGGTTATCTTCGCATAAGTACCTCTTTTTCGCCCGGTACTAAAAGGGTTAAGGACTGTGTTGTTGCTTTGTACGGTATTTTATAAAACAATCGCTAAGGTGCATCCTCGACTTGTCGGGCCAATTATTGCAGTAATAAGTTGTTTGATGTCTTCCGCCGGGCTTATTTCGTTGAGAGCAAACCTTCTTAACTCCTGTTAGAATGACATGTAGCTTTCCAGTCGATCGAATTTCGTCGAAACTGGAGGTCGAAGTAGAAGCTCGATCACGAGTCTGGAGTGGAATTCTTTTTTTTTTTATCAGACATGGCAACTTATTTGTTAGGATCGTCGCAGTTAAATAGCAAGCGGTATCATTCTACCCTTCTTCAAATTGTACAAACATATGTATACTTTGTTGTCAATCGGCTTTTCGCATCAAACGAAATGATGACCGAAAGTTACCCCTCGAGTTGCCGCATCGGACCAAGGGGTGACTGAGAGCACCTCTCGAGTGCAAAGGGTTAACATGCCGTAACGTTATATAAGTATACTTATGCCACTTAGATACTACGAGCAATAACATCTTATCTCCCTTATCGTTATTTATCGGATCGAGATACGACAATGTAATTTTCAAATTTTCGAATTAACACTATTTCTACCACGATTTTGTGTATACCTATTTCGACCAAAAGGTTTTGATGAGCTGGAGGAAAATGACACCGCTAAATAAATTTAACAATTATTATACGAAGACTCAAAACATTAATTGAGAAGAGATTATTAAACTTTGAAAATAATTTCATGTTAAAATTTTAAAAGGTGTCTTTTGACACCTTTGGTAGAAATAGTGTTAAGGTGATGTGAAAGTGGCATCTTAAGGCTCAATCGTTCATGAAATTTTTCTACGAACTGGCCTTACCGAATCGTATCAAATTTTACAGCCTGAGCAGGAAGACCATAAGGAAGGTCCTGACATCCGTGAAATTTCATTTTATATAAACAATTTTTAAAATGCCTATATACAAATTTATAAAAAATTGAAATTTCATGTCAGGACTTTCCTTCTAGCCTCCATATTTACCCTGCAAAGTTTCAAATTAATTGGTATACTTAATTTGATGAAAAGTTTCATGAACGAGACTTCTTTGACGCCACTTTCCCGTCACCTTAATCATCAGGGTGAACAATAGATGTGGAGACAAAAATTGAGACACAATAAACAGCGGCAAGCGGCTATTTCTAAGATCAATCTCGATGTTAAAATGTAAAATCGATGTTTGTTAATCTCTTGAAGGTCCTAACGCTGAAAAAGCTGGGCAGAGCCGTACAGCTCTGTTCAACTTTAACTCACTTGATTTCTACATTCGGCCTCGACGTGCATCAACTTGGTCTGGGCGAGTTCGAGCTCTAATTCGCGAACTCTTTCTTGGGCTCTGTGCAACATGGGATCGATTCTGGTTTCCAGCGGGTGGGAGATCTCTGCCAACACAGCTGGGCCATCCGACAAAAAGATTCGGCATTTCTCGCATTTCGATACCTTCCCCTAAAAGAGATACCTTTTTGAGTAATCCGAGGTTTGCCGACGTATCCGAATTTAATTGAAAGATACGCGGACAATGTACAAACCCTTAAATCGCCCAGGCTCGCCTTCAGAGCATGGTAGTCGTCCTCCAAACGTTGGCAAATCTACACATACGACGGTAAATATGTACAGCACTCAAGCATTAAAAAATCTTTCCACGCTCCCATCTCTACCCACAGAACACTCTAATATAACTGGTTAGGTAAATGTTACATTTTCGAAACTAACGTGTTATGTAGCATAAAAGTAACATCGAAGTAAGATATTTGTTATTATTTCCCCCTCAATAAGGTAACATGTTATATTAATGTTATAAGTTCAGTTACCTTAAAATAATATTAATTTTTCAAACATTTAATAANGTAACTTTGTTACTCTTATCATACATTATATTACTGTCCTGATATTACTGTATATATGCAGCACATATTTGTAACAAAACAGAACTACATCGGTGCTAACTGTCATCTATTTTATTACATTATCGTCATTGTCATAATTCATCGTCAAATGTCATAAGATTAATATATATGTTATATTTTGTTTACTACTCGTTTGAAAAAATGTGTTTTAATTGGTACTCCCACTGAACACTGTTATATAACTGTGAGATAAATGTTACATTACCGAAGCTAACGTGTTATGTAGCATAAAAGTGACAGGAAAGTTAGATGTTTGTTATTATTTCCCACTCAGTAAGGTAACATGTTATGTAACATGTTATATTAATGTTATAAGTTCAGTTACCTTAAAGTAATATTAATTTTTCAAAGATTGAATAAAAAATAATGCAATTTTATAACAAATTACGTAATTTTTATTTTGTAATTTTTTGTGGCACTTGGCAATAGTTAGGTACTATATAATAAATCAGACATTAAATGAAATTATGTGAATGATAAACTATCTGATTTCATTTAAAAGACTATGATTTCATTCAACTAGCAAACAATTACTGATAATGTGCGTGCGAGTACGAATTAAAACACATTTTTTCATACGAGTAGCAAACAAAATATGACATATATTAATCTTATGCCATTTGACGATGAGTTATGACAATGACTATGATGTAATAAAATAGATGACAGCACCGATGTAGTTCTGTTTTGTTACAAATATGTGCTGCATATATACAGTAATATCAGGACAGTAATATAATGTATGATAAGAGTAACAAAGTTACGCTATATTTATATAGATATGATAGTAGCAAATGTTATGTAACCTGTTAGTTCCATGTTAGATAATTGCTAAGTTACTGTATTGTAAGCAATGTTATTTAACTAGTTAGCTCTATGTTACGTAACTGTTAGGTTATTACATTGTAACAAACGTTACGTTATTTGTTAGTTTTAAGTTACGTAACTGTTAGGTTTGGTGTTCAGTGGGTAGATGAGCTATAATCTGAAGGTGTCCAGGATTTTCGAATTCTAGAAAACTCTGAATATCGGTTTAGTATAATTCTTTTCTCAAGATCCTTATTTGATATCTTTTAATGTCTTATCTCTAATAACATTTTACCTGCTTATATTCGGCGATGATAACTCCACTTCGCTTGCTTTCAGCATCTGCCCTGACAACTTCCTTCTGGAGTATTTCCTTCACTTGAACCAACTCGGCCTCCAACCGTTGCTTTTCCTCTTCGTTCCTGGCAACGGTTCCTCGTAGCTGCTCAACTTCGTTGCTGTACTCGTCGGCATTCTCCTGAGCCTCTGCGTGAAAACGAGACATTTCTTATTTATTTATTAACTTACGGTTCTTCAGTTTAAATGCCGTTGCGCGTTTGCGACACTGTGGTGCGCATCAAAGGACCCCCTCGGAAATATCTCCACATATTTTTATTGCATTTCATTTGTCTTTGAAATTTGTATAAAATCTGAAATCATTGATTTCAACAAGATGAAGGCACTAGTTTTGTTTGCCGTGAAAAAAAAAAAAGAAGAATAGTATTAAATCCTGCCCGTTTATATTTTCGGGACACATGTCATCTCGGGAAGCAGATTGCTCTTGTCGCATTATATCAGCAATGTATCGCTATCGCTTGAAGGCCACGAGTATTTTTTATTTCGTTTTCATTTAACTGCGAAGGTTTTCAACGGGGCAACAAATGTGAAGGGATTAAAATGAATTCAAAATAAAATACTTGTCTGACGTATTGGCGAAGCATCTGGACAAAAAATTGTCAAATGTTGTACTACAAATTTTTCATTTGTCCAATCCTCCCGATGCGACTTTTAGTAATGACGTTAAGAATCTCCAGACTTTCTGTTATACAATAAATCTCTTTACAATTGGTTATTCAATAAGAACGACCCAACGGGCAAAAGAAAACGTTAGTATTTTCGTCTCGTACATTCTGCATTTTTTTGCAACGTGGATTACCCCAGCAAGTGCTTAAATGATATTGCTACAACCCAACTAGAAATCTCTGGGATTAAAAATAAATACGTATTATATATCCACAGTGATACAAATATTAAAAAAAAATAAAAAATGTAGATACGTATCGCTACGTAAAGAGAAAAGACTTATTCCTCCGCATGATACTCGTTACGTGGCTCATGCTCATGACACTTCGTAAAAATGAAAATCAGACGTGTCAAGTGTTACTGAACGATCAAAAAATATTGCCACTACCCACCTCGAAATCTCTACGTATAAAGATAAAGACGTATTATATCCAGTGATACGGATTAAAAGAAAAAAAAAGAAAAATAATAAATACAGAAACATATCACTACGTAAACAGGAAAGGCTCACTCTTCCGCGTGATTCTCGTTGCGTGGCTCATGCTCATGACACTTTGGTGACATTAAAAGCAAACGTATCGAGTGTTACTGAACGATCGCCGAACACATTGCCGTTGCAGACACGGCTGCTACAAGCTATTGCGAAATGCATATTGGCCCACTTTAAACTGCCCGTACAGCTATCGAGGAATATATCTAGCATGCAAGCCCGAGAGTAAACAGAATGACCGGTTACACGCCGAGATGTTAGAATTGAACCCGTGCATAACGAGTACGTAAAATCGGGTTCTACGCGTTAACGCTAACAAGCGAGGCAATTCTCCTGTGGGGGTGTTTAAAGAATACATAATCAGACAACAACGACTATTCGGAACGTGGGGGTAATGTCACTAAAGGGTTTCGCCCAAGATGCATCATGCACTTCCATAGGCAGAGCGGGGAGAGTGAATCCCAAAGCAGCGGAGGACTTGATACAAGTGGACACGGGACAGCGGGACGAATAGACAAGGGATTGGTCAAAATAACTTATAAGGTATTCTAAACGGACTGCTTTTATTTTCCACAACAAGTCGTAATAAATAATGCGTATAAACAAATGAGGGATACAAATTCGGTGACGACAATGCGGGAGAAAATAAACAGACTAAGCACGTGTCGATTGACGCGCCTACCCTCTTCTCGCGTAATTGTTAATAACTACTACCACTACTGTATCACACTGTCACAAAAATCTCGAGTACGTATATGGGTTCTCAGAAACAGGAAAGGTGTTTCGCTTGGACCTTGGTACGGTTAAATTGCGGGAAAAAATGCCGCCTAGAAACTCCCGCTGTACGCTCGGGCGTTTAAGAAGTTTAACGTTAAAAGACGCGGGTAATGTTATCGTATAATTACTTAGCCGACATTCATGGCACTATTGTGGATACGAGGCACATACACGAAGTAGAAGGGGCCTCCTCTTTGGAGATTATTTCTCGCCTTACCGACGGTTCCCGTTAAACTTTTACTATTTGACTTTGTTCATTTAACTGAGTTCTGTATTTTATATATATATTTTTTTTATTTTGCTCGGCGGTTATTTGACGATGTCCCCTGTCCTCCAGAAAGCGTGACCAATGTCGCTTCCCGAGACGTGTTCTGGAAAACGTTTTCCTGTTTCTCAGTAAAAGCGAATGTCATGGTTCTCGCCACTGTAAAGGGCATTTCTTTTTTTAGTTTAGCTTTATCATCAGCAACGACCATCACCTAGACTCAAGAAGGCAGTCCAAAGGGAAAGACGTAGTGGCGATTTTTTGTTCGATCTACCGCTCTACGTGTGGCCAGCATTGGTATCCAAAAACGGTCCAGTACTTGAAAGCGATTAGCAATCAGAATAATATTTAGTCTAAAGGACTAGAACGCTCACCCGGTCCTATCAAAGCATGGGAAATTACTGCGTGCATGCTCCAAGGAAAGGGACTTGATTCAACGAAATGCATGTGGATGAAAGGAAGAACACTGGACCTTACTTCAAATACTATTACATGCTTCACTTTGCATCTTTTCCTTCAGACAAATATATCTCATATTATTACTTTTTTTTTTTTCTAATTTTTACTTTCCTGTCGAATAAATTCATTTTTTAGAATAACAAATAAAATCTATACTTGAACAATCGAACCAAGATATTTTTTTTAAATAACGATTCGAATATTGAGTGCCATTATAATAAAGATAAGCTTTGAAATGAAACCGAAATAAATTGAGTTTGACATTAAAATCTGATTAGTCAACTAACGTGCTATGATTTTGATAGTTTTAACTATCTCATTACTTGATCATTGCGCATTTGGTTGAATCGATCATGTCTTTCTCAAAGTGCATTAATAGAAACAGAGAAATCTAATAATTTTTAGAGATAGTACTATCTTACGGACGGTACTCTAAATCGATAACGATACATAGATACTTGTATTCGACGTTATATAAATGACTAGCACCTTTTATATACTCGATGTCAACGCATTATCATATGTTTTCCTTATGTGACATGTAAAATCTACAGAAAAACGTTCGATGCAAGTACCATATTCGTTTACCGATATGTTGTACAAAGAAGAAAATTAGTAATTCTACAATTGTTAAGAACTCTACATAGGTATCTACTATTTACAGTAGAACTACATTCGGAAGTTTGTTTCCTTCTAATTTCTACATTACTTTCCTTTTTCCATTCCAAGAACAATAATGCTTTTTGACACTGAAAATGTAGTGAGAAAAAGCGGCCGCCGAACATTACTGTACAAAGGAGTCACAACCAGTAGAGAAATTTTCCCATATAACAAGACAGTGCGGCAACTATATAGTGAGAAGTAACTAGAACTGGTTGTCAAGAGGCAATGTTAGAAACGCACACTTCAAACGTAGAAGATGAAGTTACCTTTCAGCGTCATAAACTCGGCCTCGTACTTCTTCAACTTCTTCAGCGTCACGGAGCAAGCCAGTTTCATGACATAGCGTGAGATCTCCTCGCTGCGACAACGCTTCGGCAAGTGCACTCGAAAATATTTCAGAATGCTCTCAAAATCCAGTTGTAAGAGTTCTTTCTTACAGAGCTAAAATCAAGGAATTATAGAAAGGTTAGTTAAAAGGTAGATGATACATAATGTATTCTGCATGACTGAAAAAACTATTCTTACCATAAGAAGTGCGAGGGCTACTTGAAACAAGGTGTCAAGACCTTGTAAAAGGAATACGTCCAGGATATGAAATACGAGATATAATGGAAATCTGGCTGTGAATAAGGTGAGGAACCACTGTGCGGCGAACATGTGCGTTTCGACCCCGCGATCGCAGAAATGCTTGTAAAGTTCCGGCAGTTGATCCTAAAACGAGGAATTTCTGGGTCAAGTATCCTGGGAATTCTGGAATTGGGTGCAATGGATCGATGTACTGACCTCCATCAATCGATTAAGCTGATAAAACCGCATGTGTAGATTATCAAACCGATCCTTATATAAATCTCGTAACCCATAGTCATACATCAGTTTAACCAGGACGCAAAACGCTTGTTCTTCGGGCATCTGCACAAAATCGTTAACGTATCCCTCGTTACCATTGATGCGATTATTTAAACAGAGTGGCCATACTTGTAAATATATATACTGATTAAGTAAAAAAATTGAATGAATACGTATTCAATTTTTAAGGTTCAGAAACCAATTTCATCGTTACATTGCTAAAGTATTTAAGAAGTAATTACAACTTTCTTTTCATTTGTTTGTTAGAATCTATCATTTCTTTTTTAAGGTTGACCACCCTGTTTCAATCACGTACCGATAGAACCGAAAGTACTCACGTGAAGTAATAAACTGGCTACTAAAAAACTGAGGCCCTGGCAATACCCAACCTCCTCATCGTGAACCGCATACGCTTTATTTATTCTGTACAACGAGTCTTGCCCCAAACCGCCGGTTTCTTTGAAGAAGTCGTGTGCCGGAAATGTTCTGTTAATGTCTCTGAGAATGACGCTCTCACAGCTGCTCTCCTGCTTAAAGTGAATTACTTAATTTGATTCACAGCACAAATAAATACTAAGAAATAACTCCCCACGTACCTTCGTGATTAGTGTTCGGTACTTGTCCATCATGTCTTGTGAGTTATCACAATTGCTGAGTCTCTGCCATACTTCCCCTCTGAGTGCTTCGGGGATCCCCTGCTTTGTTAATTTAACAAGAAGCTTGGGACGTTGTTCGTTAACTTGCCAGCTATCCAAAACCTCGGCCCAGCTGGCTAACTCATCTGCTGAACAATCTTTGGAAACTTCTCCCGTACCGCTCAGCATAGGCTCGTCGCCATCTGCTAATGAAGCAATAAAACGATCTTTGAGAATATATTAAACTAACAGCAAATTTTGGAAATATTTGTCGAACGTAATTTAACGGTATTAACACTTTTTAAGAAAACAGAAATATAATAAATTAGAAATTATAGTTCTGTGCCTGAGTCAATCTCTTCCTTTGGTGTAAGAGTATCGATGCTTGTCAATGATGGAGATCTGATTAGCGAAGCTAAGTTTAAAGCAAGGTTCAATCGATTTCTATCCAGCTCGCCTGAAGTCTCAATGCTCTGCACCTCGTAATGAATTTCTGAGCCATCGCCTGATATAATCTGTCAGATTAATACCATATTTTATTAAATTAATTCCTTGTCGATTAGAGTAATTCATTTTCAATAAACCTGTACCTCTTTTGAATTGAGATAAAATTGTTGCACCAGGCTCCTCTTAGTAATGTACCAAAATCTCTCGTTTTGTGGGAAGACCTTGACAGATGTCTCAATCACGAATCTTACAGGTTCTCGAATACCACGAATGACTAAATCGACCGCCACTGTCATGAACATTTTATCCTCTCTCGGTGTCTCTACATTGAGGGCATCTAATGCTGGATCAGCAGGATCCCATCGGCCACAAATATTGTAGCACTGTCTCTCTTGAACTATCGGACCTGGATTAACTTGCTGCAAATGACAAGATGAAAAGTAACTCAATCGTTATATTTGCATTACGTTAAGACGTGAAAAACGTATAGTAATCTTACCATTTCCAGCAATCTCATATCACTATGTTTGACATTTCGTCCAGGACTGACAAGAACTCCAAAACACCGTTCAACTTCTAAAGCAATTCCTCCTTCCTTGCTAGATACTTGTTGAATGCTTAGACATACTTGCTTTGTTACGTTACTTCTAAATTTGAAACAATTCCTATCTTTGGGAACTGTACAGAAAGTTCCCTTTCCATCTTCTTCTTTAATCTCCATGGTGACTTCAAATATAAAAACGCGGGAATTAATTTTCTCATTGCCACTGTTGAATCCATTGAAATCGCTCCCAGTCAAAGAACTTGTCATAGACCGTGGAATCCTTTGGAAAGCTTTGGCGAAGCAAGCAGACACTTGCCCTACCTACATCGGTGAGATATAAATATTAAAATTGAATTAAAGATTTTAAAGCAAGAAGACTAACTGAACTCACAGCTTCAGGAATGTTGCACCTAAAGACATGACATTGGAATATAGCAGATTCCAAAGTATCACCATGAGACCAGGTGAAGGCAAAGCACGCTGAACAAGGCCCGCCGTTTTCACCCCGTGCATAGAACAAAATTCGTTGCACCTCATAGTGAGCTATCGCTTGCTGAGTTATGGCATCGTACAAACTAAAGGAAAATAACAGTATTGTTAAAACAATTTTATTTTATTATTTATAGTTACACTTACATAACTCCACCCTGAGAACTGTTAGGCACCGAGACAGACACTTTAACTCCAATGTTCAGTGATTGCTCTGCATTTAATATGTTCATATTACGCTGAATCTCATATTCTGACTTTGGTGCATTTATGGCAGCTGCTCCCAAATAAGTAACACCATTGAATATTGTGCATTCCTGATGAACATCTGATATCGTGCTCAATTCTGAAAAATATAAGAACATAGAGGAATGTAAAAAATAGAAATATTGAAACTTTTCATCCTTTAGTGACTTACCAGCTTCGTTACAATCGTCTGGTTTCATTATGTCTTGCTTCTCCGAAGTGAGAGGACATGGCGTTGTGTCATAAAATTGACTTTGTCCAACTTTTTGTATTTTCGAATTCATTTGATGGCTACCACCAATGCAACCAATTATCTTAGTTTCTCCTCCACCTTCCATTTTGGTATCCTCTCTTAGTACCTATAACATTGACATGTAAAAGAATCTACACTTTAAATACCAGTCGCTTGCGATATATAACTCACAACATACCTCTCGAAGATTGTTCTGAAGGTCTTCGAGATTGCCGTTATTGGCGATTTTCAGCATAGGTAGTTCCAATTGCGTCTGTTGTTGCTTACCGTTTCCTTTTACACTCACAAACTCATATTCGTCACTTGTCGCCACTGATTCCATCGATTTTACGCTTATGCTATCCTCCATAACTATTTCTAAGAGCACATTATTTAATGTAATTGTTTGTCTTGGTATCATATATTAATACATAAAAGACAATTACTAAGATAAAGGTTTTCAATTATCACAAGTATTGAAATCTACAAAGTAAACCTTACATTTTCTACATAGGACAATATTTGCCTTTATAGGCCATGGAGCAAAAATAATCACAGTTTATATAATTCAGCCAATAAATGAATGCACTTCTACTGATGTTTATAAACACAATCAATAGATGGTATGTTATGTAATATGGAACCTCCATGGCATGCTTACAAAATATAACCGATATTCAAAAATCTACAAGAATGTCTCCATATCGTCTGCAACGAAAGAACAAGAGACGCTAGTGTAGAACCTCTGATTGCAGATTGACCTATACTCTCCCTGCATTTAGATTCAGAAAAACAAGCTATCTCTGTACTAGAACCTCCCTCTGGATTCAACTAAAACAACAAGTAAGAAGATACTCTGATAAACAATACAAGCGTTATTTTTAAGACTGAATATTTCAAGTTATTTGTCTTAGTGCGTTCAAGTTATACTTTTATCAGTGACTAATTTCCTGTAAGCAGGAATATACAAAGAATTAAATGCAGTATCAACTTTACCATAAAATCTATGTTTATCATTATACTAAATAAGTCAATGACTAGTTTACCATCAACTGTATTTTAAATTACCCAGACAACAGAAAATATTATATTATTAAGATAGAGACAGTAGCCTAACTTCAAGATTGACATGCATGTGTATTATTTTTAAAATAAAGCTTTGTTTTGTATGTGTTAAAAAATGTACACTTCTGAAAACTACTAAGAGATAGGTCTTTAGCAAGGGTAGTCTTTAGCAATCCGACTAAAATTGTCAATCCCATTTGAAAAAAACAGGGTAGGATATTCTGATCGGTTCTATCCGTGATAACTTGGCATTTTCTATATTCCACCAAAATATTATATCGTGATAAGTATATTCTCATCCAATTTACTACAAATACATCTTTTCTCTCTAGCTTTAATTAATAAATACTTTTTCAAAAGATTTAAATATACCTACATTGTGATACTCTAGGTAAACCAGACTTTTTAAGCATGTCCAAGAATAAATAATTTAATTTCTCTAGCTATCGGAAAGTTTATATTCACACAGAGTACAATTTAGAATCTCCAATGACAGAAACCATACTCTTTTAAATCACAGTAAATCGAATGAAATTTGTGAATGAAACGTCATTGCCAAACTTTTTAAAAATTATAATAGGCCTCTTAGAAAGTTATAAATTACCAAACAGACTTGTTAGTAATTCATTTGAATGTGCATTACCCTATCCTGCTCTAAGCACACATATTAATCAAAACAATTCAAGGACTCGACTACCCCAAAACACACTGAAAAGTAACTCTTTCACCTCAGGTTACGAACCACTTCTAGATGAGGCCGTTTGATGAGAAAATGTAACTAACACAAAAGTAAACAACAATTTCCTATAATATGTATATACTGCTACTTGGAATAACTGCCCAAAGTATTCCTTCAACTCAATGTAATTTACTTCTTTAAAAGGGCTCATACCTTTTGACGGTGTTGAAACTGCCCATTTTTTAAACGAATACAACATAGAAATGACACAACGTTCAAATAAAGTTAGAGCATGTTATTAATCATACTTTTAGGTAAGTATCGATACAATTATTTATCATCTTACATTAAAAAGTCCTTGAGTTACGATACATTATAAAAAACCATATTTTGATGTACACCCTTGGGTGTCAACAGTTTTCGAATAAACCGACCACAAAAAGAACTCATAACGATTCTTCATAACGAACACTTGCTCAGAACTGATCATTTCCATTAGCACTTAATAATTTTAAAAAGTAATTTTATTAAAATACGAACAAAATCGGTTCTAAAATATTAATAGATAACTAAAATGTTGAGTAACTTTGCCCCTATATAGTTGGTCATTTTGATAGCCATGTATTCTATCAATGTATGTACAAAATATGAACTATTCGGGACTAAATCTTATATCTAACGACAGAGTACGAAAAATAGCATCGTTCGGAAAGTGGCTTTAGTTAGAATAAAGTTTTTCATGTAGAATGACATGTACCTAAAAGTATGGTTAATAACTCGCTTAAACTGTATTTACATGTTGTTTCTTTTTTTCCTTGTACCTGTCAGAAAAATGGGTACTTTCCCCCTATCACTAGGTCCGAGTCGCCTTAATTCGGGGCGATTTAAAAAAGAAATTGACAAGGGCTGAGATTCGGAGGCTTCGAGTCCGGACTCACCAGAATATTTTCAGTCCGTCCGTCTCGGCTCATCCGAGGCGCATTCTCTCGCCCCGGCTCGCGCCGGCGACGTTCCTCGCTCGCCCTGGCGTTCACCAAGGCCGCGCGCCACGATCCGGTCGCCGATGGCTCGGCGCTCTCGAGGAAGATCCCCGCGACGCCTCGAGCAAGTTAAAGGACAGCCGCCTCTCTTTGGAAACCTCGTAGCGAGCCGCTCGAGCCGCGTGATCTTGCCGTCGTCCGCGCCCTCATCAGACCGTAAGGTCGATCGACAGCGACCAACGTCGGCCACGATTATACCAACGTTTACGACGAGCTCCGTGAACGCACTCACATGGTGCGCTCGAGGGGGAACTCGTCGCGTCTCGATTGCACCAGGTTCCACTCGGCTCAAAATCCACGCGACCAACAGGCTGGGCTCGTTTGATCGGCCATTCGAGCTCTCGTGAGATTTTCGACGAGTTTACGCCGAGTTTTCACCAGTTTACACGGAGCGCGTGAAAGCACGGAGCTTTTCACGTCGCGATCGACGAATCACTGCGCTCCCGGAGACCTGTTCTCGGACGACGGACGTCCGTCCCGCCGGGAATAACAATGAGTTTTCCTGAAGTCCCCTTGTTTTTGACGCTTCTGCATGCAATCAGTTGTGTCTGGTATTTTATTTCGTTGATGATTGTTAATAATGAATCGCTTTGTTCCAGGTATGTCGCAGAGTGTATTGAGAGGTTATTGAATTGAAGTTGAAGTTTTTTCATCAGGCGTCAGATAATGTTCACTAGAACGTTCTGAAACATCTTTATACAAATAAGGAAAAAGTTTCCGTACTCTGGATTTGATTCCCTTAATAGTGGTTTCGTAGGGAATTATCCGGACTGCCCTATGAGGTGTTTCAAAGTGGATTGTATAAAAGCGGGGATAATGTGGCAAGTTGCAGTTAAGAGTAATGTTTTATTTTTATATTCTTTATCATTCTTTTCAATGTCTTGTGTTTCTAGGAGTCACATCTAGGAATAAGTAATGTGTAAATTCAATATGTAGGATACATATGAAACAAAGGAGTCAATGTTATGTAAGATAGAACTGCAATTACAGAAAATTTTCATTACGTGTAATATTTGTTGCTCTTGTAATCTAGCCATTTAAAATCTGTTGAATCTAATATGTTCCTTGTTTGTGTGTACATGTAAAAAAATCTTAAGGCCCTTAATGGATTCTTAATGAGCCCTAGTAAATATTTATTAACCTTTACATCAGTTCTAGCCTATAATTTCTATTCTAACTTAATGATTTTATTAATAACCATACAACTGAGAATGCTGTACAATTAACAATTTAGATATACCTTGAAAAAAACATTGCATAAGACAAGAGTTGTGTTACAAAAGAATAATATAGATATGGCATTATATTAGAAATCGTAACACACATAACTCGCTACGTTCTTGAATTACATCCAACTACATCTTTGAAATATAATCTGTAATTTTTATGATATATCATAAACGGGTTTTAATCAATTTAGAAAGATATTACTTTTATCTTTGCTTCTTTACATCGTAGATCAGGTTCAAATTGATATTTCTTCTATTTTACTACATTGGAAAAAGAAATTTTGCAATGATAATGTGTGTAATTGGCATTGTAGCTTAGGCCATTAGCATATTCACATATAGGCGGCTTATATTCTGATAAGGAGAATACTATCTTTTTGTAATGATTTGAGTTCCATGCATATTTACAACTTCCCCTTTAAGAAATTAGAGCAAAAGAGTAGTACGATATCAAAGTTTGTAGTTTTTATAACATTTTATCTGTATTGGTTTTGAAGAAAAATAAGATATATCCTATAGATTTGCCTGACATTGAATGTTTGAAGTTGAGAAAATGTTAAACATATTTTATTGTCTGTATGAAAATATATCAACCTTCGCATATTGAATTTTTAAATACTTAATTTATCTACTGTCTTTCAATACATGATTATAACACGAATGACTGAATATATGCACATTGCAGGTTTCCAAATTAATTGTGGATTTTCAAAATGTTTCATCAACAACAGGTTGATAGTTGTAATATCAATTTCTCTTGGGCAATTTTTTACATCCTTCAGTTTGAATGTCATTCAAGAAAAACAAGAATATGTGGCAGTTAATAAAGTAGTAGCTCTGCTTTCTGTAATATCAGTTTTATTTCCTCCTTAAACTAAAATGGAAGGTAATCTATCTCCTAAATTTGTTAAGTCTTATTTAACAAATCAAAAACCAAGATCACAGAGGCAAACAAAAAAGTAAAAATTTCTCCTTCGTATTATTCTTCATCGTAAGTAAATATAAAAGAGGAACTCCACAATATTCCGAATCAAGCAGCTGGACAAACGGTAATCTTTCTTCTTTTTTCCTCTTGCAATTGCTGTCGATCTTACAGAGAAGGAAAAGGCTAATATTACGAACATGTGTGTAAATAGTTATGCCTGGTTAATACTACCACCTTAACCCTGATTTAACTCTAACTTACTGGTTCACAGTGAAGAATTCATAGGAAGTATTTATACTTTCTGTACTTTAGCTCTAACATTTGTTCTAATTTTAAAAAATTCTCAATTTCGAGCTTATTCCGAGGTTTTAAGGAAAAGCGCATGCGCGTTGTGCGAGAAAGAGCGCGTAAAGCACTGAAATTTAAATCTGCTCGTAACACCTACAATTTGATCTGCTTTCATTATTCACAGCAGCATTAATTTGAATAACGGTGGAATTAAACGACGATGCCTATTCATTTTACTGTTTTAATTCAGAGCAGTTTGAAATTTATGCGACGAGCTATCGGAAAATACCAGAGAATACGAAATGTATATACATACATACACTCTACGCACAAGCTGCTGAACGACATAGCAATTGATGAGAATTAAAGATTGTGTAAGAATTTGGACTGGAGCATAAACGACCCCAGGGAAATTACAATAAGGATAGCATAAATCAAAGTCAGGATGGGAGCATAAGCGCGTAAAATTCACTGTGCAGCGTCGGCCTGACGTTAAGGAATTCAAAAGTCTCCATTGAAACCCAGTAGCGGAATTCTGTATGCCAATTCGGTAGCTATCGATGCGTTAGCCGTGTTCCTTAAATTGATTAACGACATCGATATCTCTCGCTCAGAATACGGATATCTGATTGCATTTGGTGTTCGATAAATAGTTCATTAGCCAACGCATGGCGGCGTTGTGATCATCTCTCCATCTGCTTAGAGTCTTATAGCAACATATAGTGGACTGCTGCGTTCTTCACCTGACCGTACCCGTCTTCCCATTCGAGATGCCGTTAGCTACATTTGCGATCTCTCTTTTATTCCCCCTCCTGTTTTCAACATTCAAAGCATGAACCGCTAGACAAAATCTGCGATTCCGCGGAATTCTCTATCGACGCCCAATGCGCCAATCGCCGCGATCGACCCGCCATCTATACGAACGAAGCTACCCGACCTCGCCACGAGATGTCGCGGCGGTCACGAGCAGCAGCGTCGCGCTGCGGATCGCGTCAGTTCGCAGGAGACCTCCGTTCACCGACGTGTGTAGGAGTTCGTCGTCGGTCCGGTGCTCGCCCGTTCCGTACGCGTCTATCTCTCGCAGAGACCCTAACCTCAACACGACCATGATCGGTTCAAAGCAGTGCGAGATCAGCTAAGAGTGTCGATGACAGGAGTCGTCTTCGAGCCGCGATAACGGACATCGAGCCTCGACCAGACCAGGTGAGTGGAGAGTCCGGTGTCATCCCACTTGCCGCCGCCTTACGTTCCGAACTTCGGGCCGTCGATCCCTGGCACTCTTTCCCGAGCCGCGGTCCCTTAACGAGACCTCCTCTTTCAAGATCTCCCGTAGGTGCTTGGCCCCAGGCTCCGCTTACGCGCGCACCGCCATTCATATTCGGGCGGTTCGATTCCGCCTAGCCTCCCCGACGTGACCCAGGGCACCCGAAATCTCCGCCGAAACCCGGAAGAAGTCGACGCTGCGACCTCGCATACGTAGAATGTGCTTCCGACGGACAACCCGGGAGTATTTAGACCATATTAGAGGTCTCGCGTTTTGTCCGGCGATCCCCGTATCGTGTCATCCGTCTGGGAGGTTATAAAACCGAGAAAGCCAGTCCCCCCCCTTCCTGCTGCACCCACCTGCCGTCCTGGACAGCTGTTCGCATCTCCTGGTTCTCTCGACCAGCTCCGGGAACGATCCCGGCCGGCTCTTTGTGTCCTTGCAGACTCGGAAATAAATCCTAAGGGATTTATTCTCGAAAATCCGGGTAACCCCTGGCACATCGCGATGGGTTGTCCGCAAGGTACGTATCGACTTATCCCCGTGTTGCGTACTTTGGCCAAAACTGGGACAGTTTACTTGTCTCCTTTTTTCTTTATTAAGGGAGGTATAACGGATCCAAAGTAGCTCGGCTTTCCAGGAATTCCTGAGATTCCCGAGATCGCCGTAGATCGCTGTCCGTAGCTGGAAAAGCAATGCCAGGGATTTATTGACTGACCTTGACGTTTGGTAGATGTACTTACTATTTTTTTTTTTTAAGGGAAACTTCTTTTGACAAGGTGGTATGTACGTTAAGTTCGCGTGTTTTAAAATGGACCCGTTTCGAGAAGTGAAACATTTTTTTCTTGGCTTATCATGGTTAATTAATATTTACATTTATCTTTACGTGTTAGTGTTGAGATAGTGGCGTAAATGTTTTCGTCAGCGTTAGTGCGTTATTCTCTCATTTAATGGTTGACGTTTAAAATGGAATGGAAATCATCCGGATAAAATATTAAAATAATTAGTGCCGGAGACGTATGGGCATTTCGCGAAAGAATAATTAAGATTAATTAATAATCATTTTCTTTGATTTAAAGGTTTCAGTTCCAACGCAAGAGTGATTAGGCATCGATTTTTTCTTTGCCGTTATTCGTAATGTATTAGTGATTTCCCGCGAAACTGTACCGAGTTTCCGGATACTACATTGTAGATTTGTCAAGTTTTATCAGTTGCTAAACGTCTACCTTTTATTCCTGAATTTAACGGCACGAGTAAAAACTCTGGTACTAATTGAATAGATTTAAATCTCATGATTTTGGCCTCGCCTTTGGCAAGGATTTTTTTTCCCAGCAGTTTATGTCGCTGTTACCGTCCTTCGTAGTTCTTTATTGTTACCGGTCCTTATCTCTGGTCTCCCAGGAAAAAGAAGGAAAAATAAAAATGAGAAATATCTTACGGTACTGAACGTCACGTGTTTCCGACCAGGAGCTTGAAATGTTTTTTTTCTGACACTTCACTTTTTTTTCGATCGAGTCCATCCTTCGTCCTAAGGACGAAGGGATATCTCTCGAAAGCTTATTTCGTAAACCTGCGACAGCGAAATCGGCAATTCGTGATTTGCCGTTACCGACTTTGACGCCTTTAAAAATCCATGTTTTCGCTCATTTTTCACGTTCATTGGCACGAGCTTGGAAAAACGACAACGGTTTTTACCGAACCCACCGATGTAGTCTGTAGAAACATCTTTTCCTACTCTCTACCGAGATTTACCAGCATCCGGAAACGGGAGCTTAATCACATAGAATCGCGTTTTTATTCCGTCCCGTTTGGCTCGTCGTTAATATTCACCGGAAATATCTCTCGACGAAAGTGTCATATATATACCAAAAAGTAAAAATATCGATGAAACTTTTCTCCAAATTCGGTGCACCGAATCATTTGAAACTTCACGAGATTAAGGAGGCCCTAAAGAACCCGATGCTCGTGGATTTTCATTTTTCGAAAAAAAAATTTGTAATTATCTCAGACAGGAATAAATAGAAAAAGACATTTTTCCGTCGAAAGATGAAATTTCACGAACATTGCGTTCTTCCTTAGGGCTTCCATAATCACGTGTTAAAGTTTCAGATAATTCGGTGCACCCTGTTTAGAGAAAAGTTTTTTAAATATTTTATATTATTGTTATATATATCTATATATATGTATAATATCGCCTTGAAGTATGAAAAGAATCCGGCAGTACTAAACGCGGTTAAAAATGAAATTCCGGCGAAACAACACCCAGGATTTGCACGCAACGGGTGCAGGTCGATACGAAGAATTGTTTCTTGCGTGTTTCCTTTTTTCTTCGAATTTTTTTGCTCTTCCTTTTTTTTTTAATTGCACGGGTATACATCGGTACTTTGCGAGGGCAACGTAAGAGTTGACTTACAAAGAGTACGAAGCACGCACATGTCGGCGCATTAATAACGCCTTTCTGTCACGAAACGGCGGTCGTACGACAATTACATAATGCTCTAAACGCAAGGTGCACATGTGACTGGTCTGCGTCTTTAGCTGGCGTTACTTTAACTCAGGTGTAAACAAATGTAGACGTGTTATTAATTGATCGTATGGCCCGAAGAACGAAGAGCCACCGCGAGGTGGACTCGCCAAATTATTCGAATCGACACTCGCTATCGATCGTCCCTCGCATTGCTCATTACGCGCGTAATTCGAATGACATCGAATAAATGAGGCTTTGCGATGCGTACGTCGCACGTATCGATAATTAGACCGAAAACAACGAGAGCCTCCTACGTCTCTGAAATAACAGGCGATCGATTACTTTCACTTTTCATCTAGAGCTGTTGGATGAAAAGTACTCCGATGGAAATTTTAAAATTAGTGAGAAAAGGGTTATTGGGTTTCGTACTCAGATTGAAGTAAGGGTTGTTTTATTTTTAAGCGAAATTTCTTATGGCATAATACGCGTAAATTCGCATTCGTTATAAAAGAATCCCGTGTTGA